GACTTTTGACTTTGCATTATAAGTAGCAATCTAATTCTAAAAATCGATTTCTAAAGCGAATGTTTAATTTTTCATAACCTAGTTTTCAGTGACACAGAAACAAAATTAAAATTGTTTCAACAAGAAGAAACCACGTTTTTAAAAAAAACTGACTTACACTGCCCACTTTCACCCGAGAGGAGACTGTACAATGGAAAATGTTACGGCCAAAAGGGTGCCCCAATGCAATCCACTCCTTCTCAATCAGGACATTCAATCCACTAATAGTACGGTAGTATTTATCAGCACATATCTGTACAAGAGATGAAACAATGGTCGAAACGTCGTAACCGTCGTCTTCTAAAATCCCGATGATGACTTGAAACGCAGAAAAAATAGAAAAGTCATCCCGTCCAAAACCGCCGGCTGCTCGCTTCATGGTCAACTAAACCTTTAAAAACGTCAACGAACTTTGAAAACACACCTGTAATTACTACCGAACGTTGGTTTTCATCCATCTTGTGCAATATGCTTCTTGTAAGAGAAAGGCACTCAAATATAAGAGAACACCAGCCAGTTGCATCCAACAGTGAACACCATTCCTTTTCACGTTCGTTAAACTGCGCGATATTTTCTAAATAACGAAAAGAATGCAACAAAACAACACGACAATAAAATGACGGTTAGCGGAATCATCGACGTGGAAAAATCTCCTGCAAAATAATACCAATCGAGCAAAAGTCACGCAGTTTTTCAAAGCAAGATGATATTCTAGAAGTAGGTACGTCTATATCTACCACATGAGGTCTTCGATTACGCGGGTGGGCTCGACATACAGGTGTGAGGACTCTGATTGTAACACAAATTAACAACAAGTAAGTGTCGGTAACACGTCAAGCAAAACATTTATAATGTATTTTGAAGAAAATTATAGTTTTCTATATGAAAAACAATTATTCAACTAAGTAGCACAAAGAAAAAAATACTTTTCCCAAAGCTCAGTTTCATTTAACTCTTGACAACACCTCGATGACCTGAGCAGCGCAGTGCCATTGGAATGGGACCAACACCACACCTAAATGATTGAAAGTTAAAGATAAAAAAATTATAACTGCCTGATCTGACCATATTTATTTGCTGTCAACTTAAAGGAGACAAAACAATATGGTACCGGAAATCGACGATGTCTCCAACTAGGTGCTAGAGTTTCATAGATTAAACTGTCGGCTACGTCATAAGGAACAGTGACATAGAGTGGGTAACTGAAACAAAAAAAAAAATACTGTAAAAACTGATCATGGAAAAACTATTAACATTTGTGGAATACTACACAAAAGTTTCACTATAAGAAACACGAAAAAAAAAACTTAGAATTCATGGAAAGAGATAAAACGAAGATATTTAAGTAAATGATCATCTTCACCTCGGCACCAGACCTCCTCGATGTCTCTTATCACGACCAAGATAACAAACTTTCCAAAAGCTTCTGTCAACTTGACAGCGATCCATTTCCTCCAACCAATCTTTTTGATTATTGAAAGCTATAGAAGTTCCTGCCAAACCTGAAACATAAATTTTCAACATTGGAAGAGCTATGCTTAGCAGAGAGGTAAACTTACGCGATGGAGATGAAGCCATTACGCCTTTAGAAGAGACATGAAAAAAATTTGAAAGAGACTGTGGACGTGAAAAGTGATATATACTGTTAGCAAGATTAACAGCAGACTGGCTTTTCTGCAAGTCGAAAGTCCAAACCCGGAAATCCTATAAAAAAATCTTTAAATTCAAAAAGCCTGTCTCAGAATTAAAGCATTCAGAGGAGCGTACCTTGGTAAAAATTTTTATGCACGACACAATGTCAAGTTGAGAGGCTGGTCCGGACATCAGATGGAACTTCTTTGACATAACAACGGATCTTCTCCCTTGAGAGTAGATATTCATTTTTAAAGCTACATTTCCACTGGTATGAACGCTAATCAAAGTAACAGTGCTAGTTTAATAGTTATTCAACAAAAGACTGAGTTCAGTAACATACAAATAAAAACCAAATTTTCCCATTCCTTTTAACGAAAGAAAGCGCAAAACTTGTTCCATAAACGATAAGCCCCAACAGTTGGTATTCATATACATTAAACAGCTAAGTTTTCCATTCCTTTCTAAACTACCATAGTTGTAGAAAAATCCATTAAACTCACCTGCCGACAGAGATGCAAAATATATTGCTTCAACTGAGCACAAAGGGAACTGGTACTCATCAGATATCACTAAACTTCTACTACAACAAGGTTCACGGTGCTGAAACTATTGGTGAAGTTGCCAAAATGGAAAGGATAAAATAGGCAAATAAAGGATGATTTCAGAAATACGTTTATTTCTATTACATTTATAAATATACTACGCTAAGAATGACTAAAGCATGTAACAAAAAACCACATAAATTAAGAATTTAGGAAGGCAGGCAAATTTTTTTTTGAAAGACCTATGAAGATTCAGAGCATGGTAAAACAATTTAATTCACCTGAACAGTTAAAGGAACGAAGCATAAACGGAAATTTGTGCAATAAAGTCTCCCGAATTGATTTTCACGAAATGCTGGAAAGAATAGGACGTCATCGCACTGAGACGATACTATTTCATCTAGAAAGTTAATTTGCATATAGACGGTCAAAATGCGCAAAATGATTCAAAAAATGTAGCTAGTAATTTATCTTCTGGCATTTTAACTGAGTAAGTAATTAGCAAATAATTAGCAAATCTAACCTTTTAAGAGCGGGAAGTCCAGCCCCTTATCGCTGCCCTGCTGTAATTCGACTGTTGTAAACAGAAATCACATCTTTAAAATAAAATAAACCACAAAGCAAATTTTCGCTCTACAAAATCCACAGCAAAGTGCCGTATGCATTACGTAATGTCTCCCCTTGAGTGACATTAACTTATAAGCCAATAAAATCATATAAACAACAAAACTGTACCGATGGTGATGTGCTATCACGAAAGACGTCGACATAGGAACGAAAAGTATCCCCTTGATCATTACTTGTCTGAGGATGCATCATTAGAACTTTCTGAGGATCCCACAAAAAACATTTATTTCTCCTCAATAAAGTTCACAACTCTAAAGACAACAGTCCTTCACGTCCAATATTACAGTGTGGCTCATGATAATCATAACGTTCAGTTAATAACGAAACGAGAAAAAAGTCCTTCAGAAAGACAAAATATAATTTCTTGCACATATTCTTCTTACTAAAAAACTTGAGATCTGCTGCAAGTTAAATAAAAACAAATGACCAGCCACAACATTAATTTAACATACGTAGATCTCTTAACATTTCAAAAATATCGGGAAGAATTTGTACCGTAAAAAGATCAATTTAAAAAAGGAAAATGACTAACAAAAAAAACCATAACAAACGCACCGGCCCTCCAAAAACGCGAAGTCACCAGTTCTTAAAGCTCGTGACACTATCAACAATCTAAAAAGGCGAACCCTTTCCCCCCTTGACTGGGGAGACTTCGCTATAGGCAGTAAAAAAAAAAAAACTGTCCTGCTCTACTCTTGCCAATGACCACAACAACATCGTAGAATGAGTATTAGCTTTGTCGTTCTGCTACAGTGTATAATTGTTTATAGAAATCAAGTTTTTCCTGACATTCTACCGAATAGCCGCCACAGAATCAATCCAAATTGTATTTCACTTAAGGGAGATACTGAACTCCCACAAAAAGCTCTATCCAAAATTTCAAACGATTTATTTCAAAGGCACAACATAACAAATATATGTGAGATTGACTTGCACATTAGCTTAAACAGCTTTAAAAAAACAATTACTAATGTACAATCTATAAGGATTTCAGATTTCGAAAAATTGCCATAAAAATATTAATCACCTTTTGCAACTGTCACTGTTGAATCTGCTAAAGAATTTAAAAAAGCAAAAAAAAAAAAAAAAAAAAAAAAAAA